GCAGAGGCCCCGTCGCGGCGGCGGCAGGCCGGCCCACAGGGGCAGTAGGCCAACTCCCCCCGCCCCGCCCGCGCACGCGGAATCCTCTATTATTATTATTAAAGAATCCCTCCGAACATGTTTACATTGAGCCACATAAACTTCCTGCCAGGGCCTTCACCATCCATGGGAAGTCGTAACCTGCGCTTGGAAAGTGGGGACACATCAGGGCTGCGGGGCCAGATAATAGGGTTTTCAGCGTGTGAGAGGGGTGGGGTTGGGGGGGGAGTCCACTGGACTACAAATGGGTTCAGACCCCAGCGTGGCTAGTGCACATGTGAGGGTGAGTTGGTGAAATGTGAGTTCCTATGGGCCTATTGTGTGTGCGTGAGTGCGCGCATTAGTGGGCACGCACAAGCTGAGTGCGTGAGTAACGCACAAATAGGAGAGAAGAGAGATTACACATGTGAGTCCAGTCATTTACCGGGTTTTCGTGTGCATCAAGGCTTGCACATGTGTGTGCATGAGGGAGGGAATGAGCGGGATCGCTTGCTCTGGGAGCCTGTAGGATTTGATCCCCCAAGACCAGCCTTCTTCCCTCGCTCCTATCTGGCCGCGCAGAGCCGGAGACAAAAGCAGCAGCGACCCGCGCTCACTTTCGTTTTCCGCCCTCGCTCGGCCGGGCCGTGGCCCGCCGGCCCGCCCGCTAGCTGCTGCCGGGAGAGTCCGAACAGTCCCGGGCGCTGCGCAGTCCTTCCCGGGGCGGGGAGAGCAGGGAGGCGGGCCCTCGCGGGAACCCACGCCCGCCGGCCTCGGGGACCGCAGAGCCCACTGCGCCGGGATGGCCACGAACCGGAGGCCGCCGCCGACGCCGCCGTGGCGACCTGCCTGGGTCTGTACCTGGCGGGGAGGGCCCGGGCCCCGGGGCGCGTGTCCCTGGGAGGCGCCGCCCGGGCAGGGGAGGCGGGGGGGTGGGCGCGCGGCGGGGCTGCCCCGCGGGCGGAGAGCGCAGTAACCCTCGCTCGCCAGGTCGGTGGAGGCGGGGCGGGTCCTGCCGGCGGCCGCTGGGCGGCGAGGGTGGTGGCCCTGTGAGCGCCCACCTACGTGGGGGCCGGAGGGAGCGGGGCGGGGAGGAGACGCCCGGGCAAAGGGTCTTACACGGCCCCGGAGGCGCTGCCGGGAGGAGGTCCGGGGAGGACGGCCTCCCTCCGCTGGAGCCGCGGAGCAGCGCGCTGCGGGCAGCGGGGACCCAGCGCCGCTCCCCGCGGGGGCGCACGGAGTCGGTGCCTCCCCTAAAACACCGGTGTGTGTGTGTGTGTGTGTGTGTGTGTGTGTGTGTGTGTGTGTGTGTGTGGTGAGGGGGGGGTCCCGCAGCCTCCGCCCCTGCTGCCAAGAGGCTGCCCTCAGCCTCCGTTGGGCTCCTTCCCTTGTGGGAGGGCGAGAGGGAAAGAGGGAGGAGATAGAGGTGGGGGAGGAGGGACTGGACAGAGAGGGGGTTCTGCGCCAACCACCGGCCGCTCCAGCAGCTCCTCGGGGAGGACGGGCCGGCGGGCGGGCGGGGGAGGGCGCGCCGGGCTCGCTCGGGAGCAGTGGCCGATGACGGCAGAGGTGCAGCCAGCCCCGCGCGCGCAGCCCCCTCCCCCTCGCCCTGCCCCCCCTCCTCCTCTTCCTCCTCCTCCTCCTCCTCCTCCCGGCTGGCCGGCGGCGCAGAGCAGCGGCGGCAGCGGCGGCGGCGGCAGCAGCCACCCGATGTCTTCGGCGCCCGAGAAGCAGCAGCCACCGCACGGCGGCGGCGGCGGCGGCAGCGGCGGCGGCGGCGTTGGCGGCGGCGGCGGGGGAGGCGGCGGCGCGGCCATGGACCCCGCGTCGTCCGGCCCGTCCAAGGCCAAGAAGACCAACGCCGGCATCCGGCGCCCGGAGAAGCCGCCCTACTCCTACATCGCGCTCATCGTCATGGCCATCCAGAGCTCGCCCACCAAGCGCCTGACGCTCAGCGAGATCTACCAGTTCCTGCAGAGCCGCTTCCCCTTCTTCCGCGGCTCCTACCAGGGCTGGAAGAACTCGGTGCGCCACAATCTCTCGCTCAACGAGTGCTTCATCAAGCTGCCCAAGGGCCTGGGCCGGCCGGGCAAGGGCCACTACTGGACCATCGACCCGGCCAGTGAGTTCATGTTTGAGGAGGGCTCCTTTCGGCGGCGGCCCCGCGGCTTCCGAAGGAAATGCCAGGCTCTTAAGCCCATGTACAGCATGATGAACGGGCTGGGCTTCAACCACCTCCCGGACACCTACGGCTTCCAGAGCTCGGCCGGCGGCCTCTCGTGTCCGCCCAACAGCCTGGCGCTCGAGGGCGGCCTGGGCATGATGAACGGGCACTTGCCGGGCAACGTGGACGGCATGGCTCTGCCCGGCCACTCGGTGCCCCACCTGCCCGCTAACGGCGGCCACTCGTACATGGGCAGCTGCGGCGGCGGGGCGGCCGGCGAGTACCCTCACCACGACAGCTCGGTGCCCGCCTCCCCGCTGCTGCCCGCCGCAGCCGGCGGGGTCATGGAGCCGCATGCCGTCTACTCGGGCTCAGCGGCTGCCTGGCCGCCCTCGGCCTCCGCCGCGCTCAACAGCGGCGCCTCCTACATCAAGCAGCAACCCCTGTCCCCCTGCAACCCTGCAGCGAACCCCCTGTCCGGCAGCCTCTCCACACACTCCCTGGACCAGCCCTATCTGCACCAGAACAGCCACAACGCCCCAGCGGAGCTGCAAGGTGAGTGGGGAGCCAGGGCAGTCCACGTCCCGGGGAAGCCTGGAATCTGTGAGTGCGCTGCGTGGGCCCAGCACCCCGGTTTGCTGACAGCCTTTAGAGCCTGCAGCCACTTCTGTTGGGTGCCATCCCCACACTGGGGTGTCCCTCAGCCCCACCTCTCGCCGTTGGTTGAGGGGGTGAAGGTAACTTAGGTCCTGATTTGGGTCAACATGTCGTTTCTCATTTTCTTTTCCTTCGGGAGCACAGCCAGGCCCCACCAAAAGGCTCGGATCCAAATATCCTATGTTACTCCTGGTCCCTTAGGCCCCCTCACACCTCAGCAAGTTCCCAGGATGGAGATGGGGTCCAGCCTGGCCAGCTGGCTCCCCCTCAGGGGGTGGTCGGTCAGAGAGCGGCCCGAGAGTCGCCTGCCTCTGCTCCTTGCCCTGGCCAAACAGAAGGGTTAGGCCCAGCGCCGCCTGGGCCTGGTGCGCAGAGGCTGGGCGCCCTGGCCTTTCCAAGGACCTGGCCTGGCGTTGTGACTGTTGAACTGGGGGCATTCGCGGTGACACAGTAGAGAGGAGGGTCTGTGCCAGGCCCAGAGCGGAGATTGGAGCTGCAGGCTCCGCAGACAGACCCTTTGTTTCTCAGGACCCAGGATTTCGGGTCCTCGGGTGCCCTCTCCCCAGTTCTCAGGAAGAAGATGAGAAAAACCTCCCTCCCTGAACTCCCGCCTTGTTCTGGCAGGAGCTTGGAGGGAGCTTAGCAGGGGCCTCTCAGGGGTCAGCTGTCAGCAGCCTCCGGTGGGAGGCAGGAGCCGGGCCTGGTGGCTGAAAGGCCACTTCTCTGGAGGGCTCTGGGGTTGCCCTGCTTGGGCTGCTTCAAACTTCAGGGGCTCTAGCTGCCCAGGTGGCCCTGTTCTCCAACGGGGCTTCCTCCGGAGAAGCCCCCCTCACTCAGTGATGGCCCTATGCTTCTTGCTCCCAGCGCCCGCCTCTGGCTGCACTGAGGCCTCCGCAGCCTTTGAGCTGGGGAAGTGGCTGCCCTGGTGCCAGGCCGCCCGCCCGCCCGCCCACCCGGGAGGTGGAGGTGGAGGCCAGAGCCCTCCTGAAGTCTGCAGACCCATTGGGGGCCCCCACCCCACCTCTTCCTTTTAGGCGTCTGAAGCCCCCCAGCCAGCCTCTGTGTCCAAAGCGGGTGCAGGCCCAGGCAGAGAGTGCTCCCGAAGGCAGGGACGTGTCCTGGTGTCCCAGGATCATCCCCTGGAGCACCCAAGCCCATGGCCCAGACAGGGCTGGGAACTCGGGACTCTGTTCATGGGCATGTGGAGAGTAGGGAGGACAGGACCCCCGTGTCCAGAGCTCAGCGGGGCAGAAGGCTTCTCCATGTTGAACTCTGGCCCCTTGTTACCTCCCTCACAGGCATCCCTCGGTATCACTCGCAGTCGCCCAGCATGTGTGACCGAAAGGAGTTTGTCTTCTCTTTCAACACCATGGCGTCCTCCTCCATGCACTCCGCGGGCGGCGGCTCCTACTACCACCAGCAGGTCACCTACCAAGACATCAAGCCCTGCGTGATGTGAGCCGGGTGCCTGCGGGTCCTTCTGCGCGGCCATCGCCACAGGAGCCCCGGACCCATCCCTAGAAACTGCTTTATTTCTTGAGGTATAACCATCGGCAGAAGAAAAGAAGGGTTTGACCCCCTCCCCAACCGGATTATTGCAAAAGGCACCCCCAGGGCAAAGAAGCGGCACAGAGGTCGGCACCTCCTCTCCTATTCCCTCAAGATATTTTAAAAACGAACAGTGGTGGCGTTCAGGCCTCATCTGACTGCAGCTGTTGGTAAATAAATGTCTTCTTTTCGATCCGATTTGAAACCGCCTGAGAAGGTGCTGTGTTGGGGGGAAAACCCTCAACATCTAAACAAAAATTCTGCTGAGGTCTCTCCCCAACCCTTAACCCTTTAATGGAAAAAGTCAAGGGGGGGGAGATTTTTTTTAGAAGAAAGGCAAACGTAGGAGACCATCATTATCAAATGCTTTTATTTGGGGGGGGGCTGAGTATTTATCGTTGTTATTTTTAACTTTCCTTGGGAAGAATGTCTTGGAATGCGCAAGTCGCGTGGTAGAGCCTCCTTTTGCAGGGAAGGTGGGGGGGGTGGTCGGGAGAGAGGCTGAGCTCTCCTCCCCACCTCCGAAGCCCTGCAGCCACAGGTGGATCTCTGTGCACACGACTTGCGTGTTCCTGAAGCCACTGTTCTTTTTGTTTTGTTTGTTTTTTTTTCTTTAAAAAAAGAAACCAATGGAGCCCAGAAGTGGGCGGCTCTCGGGGCCTCTGCCACCCCCCTCCGCCTTCCTCTTCTTCCTTCCCTGCAGTCTTTTTGGTTTTGTTTCCAATGTTACGTGTAGTTTTTTGGAGGGTGTTTTTCTCCCGAGACCCGGCTGTCTCCCGACCTCTACTGTAAACTGGTGCGAAAGCGGCGCATTCAGGGCCGACGCAGCCCGACGCGGGACCGGAGGCCCGGCCAGCCAGCGCAGGGATTCAGGATTGCGGCAGCGATGCAGAAAGGTTAAGGCACTTTTTAAAACTATAGCAAGGCTCATCCTGTTATTTATTCTTTCTTTCCCTAGTAATTGAAACACCGCATAGGCTCCTCCGTTTATCAGTATTAATGGTGTAACTTTGTTGGCAATATTTGCCGCGTAGAATTTTTTTTTTTAGATTATCCATTGTAAATTTGAAACAAAGTCCAATGAGTGTAAAAACAAATCCCCATGTTTTATATAAATATATATATAAAATGAAGGACCCCCCTCCTTTTTTTTCCTAGTATTTTGGCTGCTGGGGTGCAGCGTTTGTGACACGTATTTTAAATTTCCTTCTGCACTGTATAAAATGACAATTTGAGGATGTGTTGCCTTTTGTGTATTTTTTTTCCTAAAAAAAAAGAACAAAAATAAAAATGTATAACATTTGTACATGGACTTTAACATTGTATCAACTAGAAATAAAAACGCATGAGTATTTCATTGGGATTGCAGAATATCTTCCACCCCAAATATAGACAGAAACCAGCCTGGGATAGTTAGACTTTATTTTATTTTATTTTATTTTTGTATTTAAAATATGGGAGATTCTCAATACTTTTTTCTTTTTCTTTATTTTTATTTTTTTGGCTAATCCTCTCCTTTTCACTCTTCATTCCACGTGGAAGTGAAATCTGGACACGAAGAACTATTTTTCTTGGCTTCTGTTTTTTAAGAAGAGCCCTTTGCCCCTCTAAATGTCATTTCTCTTTTTAAAGAAATAAACGTTTGAAGAAAAACTAGAGTCCTTCTCCCAGGGAAGATCGTATATATGTAAAATATACATAAATATATAAAAACTATATTTTTCCCATTTCAAGACCAATGAAAGTTTTACTTTGAATTTCAGACTTTCCCGTTCCAATATTCCAGCGGTTATACATCATGAAAGAACTTCGTGGTTTTGTAGTTTTTTTATTTCTTGGGTGCCCTACACTTGTTTTTCCCAAATCAGGAATCGAGTAAAATGGGCGCAAAAAAAAAAAAATGCTGCTGGTGGGAGAGCACGGGGATAGGCATGTTTCCAGTCCCTGAGCGTGTCCCTCTCCACCCTCAGGGACCAGAGGACATTTCTAAGAGCCCGTGTCTTCCGCCGATCACCCTCTCTATTCCCAGCCCCGCTATTTGGGAAAACAAACACAATAAAGTCGCATTGTCGGTGCGGCGGCCGCTCCGGACCCACCGCAGTTCTTCTGAACCTGGCTCTTCTCAAAGTTGACATGTTGGACGTGAGGGTAATTTCTCCGGTGCTCTGTTACATCAGAATTATCAATAAACTCGGCCCGGGCAATTAATGTCCCAACCTAACAGCTGTCTATTAATGGGAGATAAAGGGGACAGGAAAAGGCTGGTGACTCAGTGTCCCCCGGGGTCCCCGGCAAGCGCAGCGGCGGTGGCGGCGGCTGAGTCTCAGGGCGAAGCGCGCTGTCGCCGGGCCGGCGGCGCGAGTTGGCCTTGCGCTCCGAGAGGAGCGTCTCTGCGATGGAGAAGGCGCTGCTCTCGGAAGGGACCATCTCTCCTCTCCCCTCCCCCCCCCCCCCCCCCCGCCTTCCACGGGCGCCCAGGGAAAAACAAAACAAAAACAAAAACAAACAAAAAAAGAGAATAGCCCCCAGGTTTCCAGCGCAGGAACTTTGCGCTTTCACCCAGACAACCTCCTCCGCAGGCGAGGCGGGCCTCCTCCCTCCCAGAGGCTGCGCCCCAATTAGGTCGGAGGCTCCGCTCCGGGGAAGCGGGGCTGATTAGGAGAAACCCAATGCCAGCCCCGCCGGCGCTCCCCGGGCTCCTGCGGCCTCTCCAGACCCCTTGCCCACGCGCTCGGACCTTGGCGCGCCAGCCAGCGGCCGAGGTGCGTCCGGCGGTGCGTGGCCTTGGCGCCGCGGCGGTGCCAGATTCCAGGGCGGCAGCGGCTCGCGGCTTCCCCTTCATCGTCCGGTGGCGCCTGCAGTTCGGTGGGATCTCCCAGCGCGTCCCCATCCGGGGTGCAGGAAAACCTCCAGGAGCCCTGGGATGGGCCTACTTGCTGTTTTCCGGCTTGACTTGGGGCCTGAGGGGTGACAGAAAAGTGCAGCCTTCCCCGCAAGGGGAGCTGGCTCCGGGCAAACCTGAGAGGGCCAGATTCCGAAGGCAGAATTGCCTCCACACCCTCATCCGAGATTTCACGCCGCCGCCGCCGCCGCCGCCGCTGCCACTGCTGCCGCGCGGGACAGAACTCGCCTGCGCTGGGTCTCCAAGGCGCACTTCGGCCTGGGCTCGCACGAGGGGCTGCAGGGCGAAGCTCCCACTGTCGTGCGCTGCGATGGAAGGGTGACCGTCACGTGCAAGTGACAAGCTTAAAGTGCAAAGGCTCCTTTGAGTCCGGTGCAAAACCACTGGCCCTGTGTCACACGTGGGAATCCTTCTAGCCTAGCAAAGGGACATCCTCCACAGGATCCATTAAAAATCTTTGCACCGCCGCTTTTAGGAAGTTTGTCTTGGAACAATGCAGCCCTTAACACGCCCTAAATGTATGCAATTCCACCCCTCCTCGATAATAAAAGGCCCAGAGGCAGGGAAGTAGCTAGGATGTGTGCGACTGGGTTTCCCTTCCTGGATCACAAATCCCGCAGATTCCGCGGTTTTCCATGCGGAGCCGAAGCCCTGGGTGCACCTGAGCTTCAGCAGCCGCCAGCCCTTTGCACTCTCTGGCAGCAGAAGCGCCCCAGCGAGGCCTCGGGGCTCCCCAGGCCTAGGTGGACAGAACTGCAGTCCCAGCGGCCAGGCCATCGCCACCCGGAGCTCACTCCCAGGGCCCATGTTGGACGCAGGCACGGGGACAGCGGGGACCGCTGGAAGACACTCTGGGTGCCCATTTCTGATGGGAAAACGCCTGAGCTCCGCGGTGTCCCGTTTTCTTCTCCCTTTGGGCCTGGGGGCCTGGGAATGGGAAGGCATCACTGTGGCCCCAAAGCCTGGCTCCCCGCCTGCCAGTGCCCCAATAGCAGGCTCTCTCTGAAGGGACTGGAAATGCGGAGCTAGAGTCTGGGCTGTGCCTCGGCCACTTAAACAAGCCATCGAAGTCACCTCCTTATCTCTGATAATGCTATCTGCAAGGACCTTTGGGGGAGGGGGTGGCACCAACAGGAGTGGCCATGTGACCCACACATGTCTCTCCCTCCTCCCCCAAGAGATCGGCTGCTGTAGATGTGAGCAGGTGGCTGGCGGCATACCAGGTGCCAGAACCCATATTTGACAAGGCCTCCTGCTCAGGCACTTCCTATCAGCACCCACTTTGGGACCCACTGAAACCTCCCACCACCACCCATCTTCTGGTGTGACACACTTGGGTGTTCTCTCCCTTCCGGGGGGGGGGGGGGGAGGGTGGCATCTGTCGGGCTCAAGAGATGGAATTTTGGAGTTGAGTCTGGGGCTCTGAGGAGGACTCATCCCCAGGATCTCCTAACCTCCAGGTCAGCTTCGCTTCTGACAGTGGTTCCCAGAGTGCAGCCCCCAAACCGCCCGCATTGGAATACTTGGGTGGTCCGCTCCAACTGCAGAGTTCAGAGTGGGGCAGGGCCTGGAGATCCATGGGGTTAGAATCTCTGGAGGGGGTTCCCAACAATCCGCAGACTTTACAGATTCCCAAGTGGCCCTGGTGAGGGCTAAAGTTTAAAGTTTCTTTCTCCTCCATTCTTCTCTGGGCTCCCCAGAAAACCCTAGAGGAGGCAGCTCAGCGTGGCCTCTGCTGCCCCCTCCCGCCAGCAGCCTGGCGGCCTGTGAGTGCACTAGTAAAAGTAGTTGATGGGGAGAAGGTGGAGCCCAGCAAGCCTGGACTCACAGGCCACTAATGTTTAACAAGCTGACCTCTGCAGGCCCTGGTGAGCATTTGGGCACACCCGCTCAGTTCATCTCGGCAGCCCTCGGTAGGTCCTATCTCGACCCTTGCTTTCTCGATGCAGACATAGAGCTTGGACAAGTTAGGGTACTTGCTCCAGACACTAGTAAAAGATGGAATTTAAACTCAGACCCAGGATTTTCTGACTTCAAAGACCATGTCCCTAAACATTGTAATGCATGGCTCCCTCTCTCCCATTTTCCTCCAGCTGTGGTGTCTAGTGAAAAAAGCTGAAGTGTGATCCTGAACCAGCTTCTGTGACTGTCAGCTTCCAGGAGCGAGATGAGGAAGGAACCACACAGGGGTCCAGGGTCTCTCAACACAGCGCCTCGGACACCCCTCCCTGCCTCAAACTGTGGGGAGGCCCTGCGGTGGGGTGGGAGACAGCACAACAGCCCTAGCTCAGACCCCCTGACATTTTTCTCCCTCTAGGACTGTGGATGGCAAACTGCAGCTCGAGAGCCACATGCAGCTCTTTGGCCCATTGAGTGTGGCTCTTCCACAAAATACCACAGCCTGGGCGAGTCTATGTTGAAGAAGTGGCATTAGAAGGAGTTTAAGTTTAAAAAATTTGGCTTTCAGAAGAAATTTCAATCATTGTATTATTGATATTTGGCTCTGTTGACTAATGAGTTTGCCAACCACTGCTCTAGACAATGGACTTGGCTTTCATGCGTTCCCACCATGGCCCCTTATGAGAGCTCCCTTGACTTCCTTGGGCCCCCTTGGTCCATCAGAGAAAATCTCATAAGTTGAAGCTCAGGGTGAGAAACGCCAGCTGGGGCCTCCCTGCTCTGCTTCTGGGATGTCCCAGGCATCAACATCTCTGAGTTCAGGGCTGTTTTAAGGAGAATGTCCCCGGTCCAACATCGGCTACAGGCACACCCTGAGGCGGAGCTCCGCTGGCAAACAGTGTGGCCAGCAGCCTGGACAGTCGGGAAAAAGCCGGGTCCGTACATCGTTGCACTGAATTACCGTAGAACCAAGACACGTCATGGGCCTTAGCAATTCCATTATGTGCTTTGCGGATGGGCAGGGAAAGAGGACAACTGATGTTTGCTAGAATAAAATATTATTGGTGTGCAAGAACAGAAAGACAGGAAAAACCACCTCAGCCCTATTCATGCAAGAGACATTGAGCACC